TCACATAACTAATTTTAAGTTTAATATTAGGTCGGGCCGGGCCGGGCTATTTTTGACAAAACTCGAGCCCGGCTCGAATTTATTGTGGGTTAGGCTTTTTGGCCCGAATTTAAGTCGGCGAGCCTGTAAGCATGTTCAAGCCCGTCCGGGGGTCAGGCCGGGCCGGGCTGGGCCCATGAACAGGTCTAGTGACCGCCTAAACTTCAAGTGTTTATGTTCTTATTGTTGAACAATCAGCTTCCCTCTAAGGCTCTTCTTAGACAAAAGGGTTTCAACATTAATGGTGGTTGTGATGTTTGTGGTGAAGATGAGGATGTGGATCATATTTTTAGAAAATGCTCTATTGCTAGGATTTGTTGGGGAATTATCCTCCAACTATTCAAGGGCATGATGATCAAGATAGGTCCATAAAAGATTGGTGGCTGGACCTTACAAAGAATTTGTTGCTCAAGGAGGATTGGCAAAAGGAAAAATGTGTTTTCTTGTTATGGCGTCTGTGGAAGAGTAAAAATTTGAGGCATTTTAAGAATATTTTGACTCCTCATTTTAAGGTCATTGATAATGTCCTAGGCTCGTTTATGGAATTTCAAGAGTGTTCAAATAAGCCTGATGGTGAAAGTTTAACCAAAGGCTATAGTTATATAAGGTGGGATCCCCTTGATTTTGGTGTGATTAAAATTAATTTTGATGCCTCTCAGATGGAGGATGGTATGTGCACCATTGCGCCTCTTGCTAAGAATCACTTGGGTGCAGTTTTGGATATTAAAGCTTATAAATTGGGTTTTATCTCCATTAATAGGATGGAAGCGTGGGCTGCTTGGGATTTAGAAATTTTACTGTAATAATTGAGGGTGACTCCAAGATAATGATATCTTATCTTAACAAGTCTAGTCTGTGTGATAGAACCTGAGGAGTGTCATTCAAGACTATTGGGAGCTCAAGGAGAGGTGCGGGAAGGGGATCATCTACAATCATTTTTATTGAGAAGCAAATCAGGCTATGGATTGCCTGGCTCATCATGCTCATGAAGCACAGTTGCCAAGTGATAGCTATGTCTCTCTGAACCTTTGTAAGTTGCCTTGGCCTTTTGCATTTATTTGTTGTAGTGATTTGTGGGGACGTGCTACTCCCGTCTTGTGTAGCCCCTTACGTTTATTATAAAAGAAAAATCATAATGAACAAGATTCTTGATTCAGATTTGATGGTTGGCCGTATTCTCTATCAAAGGGGCCGTTTCATAAAGGCTGAAGATGCTGAATTTAAAGACTTATTGTCTAGTCATTGAAATAATTAAATAATAACAATTTTAAACATATAAATATATAATAGCCTACTAACTTCAATTTCAGCCATCAAGGATAGGAATGGCAATAGGGCGCGGGTTCGGGGCGGGGATCATATTCCCCGTCCCCGTCCCCGCCCCCATTCTGAAATTAACCCCCATGCTCGTCGCTAATCCCCATTAGGGATAAATTTTGTCCTCCATCCCCAATCCCCGATGGGGATGGATTCCCCACGGGGACCCGAATCATCAAAATTCTTTTAGATAATAATGTTATTTTTTTGAAAAGTAAATTTACTTAAAATAAATAAATATTTTAAATTATCAATAATGTTTTAAATATGTTTTTATATATATATATAATATAAATAACATTTAAATGTATATATAATCGGGGTCGAGGCGGGACGGGGACCTCAATCCCCATCCTCAACCTTGACCCCAATTGGGGATTCCTATTGATCCTCGTCCCCGTCCTCGTCCCACCAAAATAATCCCCATCCCCAACCCCATCCAGTCGGGAAAGTCGGGTCCCGTTAGGGATGGAGAAAATTGCCATCTCTAATCAAAGAAATGAAAACCCTTAAAAGTTAAAACCTTATTTACTATAAAAGCAAAACATACAATAAACATTTTAGTTCAACATTTTTAACTATTTATCAAATGGCCCCTCTATCCCTAGGCCTGCAAACGGTATTCGAAAATCCGAATTCGAATCCGAGATTTGGTATAAATGAATTGAATTTGGATAATTCGAATTGAATATTCGGTCGAATTTGGATATTATTTTTTTACCGAATAAATTATCTGATCGAATTCAGATATACATTGATCCGAACCGATTATATATATAATATAAAGGTTAAAAAAAGAAAAAAAAAAGAAAATGAGAAATGAGTTTGAAAACTCATTTCAATCTTTTGAGTTCAAACCTCACCCCTATCTCTCTCAAGTTTCAACTTTCAAAACCCTAACCCTCCGTCACTCCCTTTGTTGTCGCCGGATGCCACCTGAGCAACCACCATCAGTCCATCACTGGTCACCACCCCATATCGTCTGAGTAACCACCAGCCTTTTGTCGGACGCTGTCATCGCTCATATGGACATCTTTCCTCTTACATCTATCTCTCTTCTATCAGAGTCTCAGTGAGACAGTGACCCACCGCCCAAGCAACCACCATCACTGACGACAACATCAGTGATAGTGGTCAAGCACCGATCATAGGCCATAGCTTAAGCTCAAAGCTCAAGCTCAACGCCGTCTCCTTCATTGCTATTCAAGCTCAAGCAACCCTCAACCGTCCAGCATCACCGACCATGTGATGCAACCCACGACTGCCACCGGGAACCCATCGCATTTGCACTGCCGGGAACCCACGCCGTCACACACTCACACTTGGCCCACCGTCGGGAACCCACGCCTACCACCGTCAATCCCCTGCCTCTTTTCTCAAGGTAATTTGATTTTCATAGATGGTTTATTGATTTATGAGCTAGATTCTTCAACTCATTTTCGTATGCTAAATTTCTAATGAGATAGAATAGATTACAAATTTTCGATAGTGATTTATTGGTTTTTGGTTATGAGCTAAGTTTTCCAGATTAAATGTGATAGAATAGATTACAAATTTAGGATTCGGTTTATTCATTTTCCTATTCTAATGAGATAGAATATATTACATATTTTTGAATTTTGATAGTGTTTTAGATAATGATTTATTGGTTTATTGGTTTCTGGTTATGACTTATGAGCTATATTTTTCAACTTTAAGGAGATAGAATAGATAGAATATATTACAAATTTAGGAATTGGTTTATTCATGTAGATAGTGGTTATGTTGCAATTTTTTTGTCCTAATTCCTAAATGATATTGTGAATATTTATTGCTTCTCATCTTTAGTAATTTTATTTTATGATTATCCATTTACTTTGCTAGTTTTAAACTTCTAATATTTTTTACACTTTATTTTGTGTAATCTATATTTAGGTTCCACTTTTACTGCTGAAGAAAATATTAAATGTCAGGACCGGTTAATCCTTCTCAATCTAGAATTGAACCTAATGCCAATAGTGAAAATGGTGAAAATCGAGGTTTAAAATTTCGATACGATACGCCTGATACGGGGCGTACCGTATCGTATCTTTTAAAAACCGATACAGGATATGCATAGAAATTAGACGTTTTGTATTTTTTAAAGCGTATCGAGGGCGTATCGGGTGTATCAGTAGTGTATTGACGAAAAAGATACAGCAAAAAACTAAAAAAAAAATTAAAGGGGGAAAGCAAGCTTATTTTCCCCGAAATAAGCCTTCTTTCAGCCCCAAATGACTCTAAAACTCAAAACTTCATTCCTAGAGTAGTAGATTTGCAAAATTTTGCAAGAAACAAGTGTGAATTGTTAATTTTTTTTAAATATTTTTCAAATTTTGAAAAATATGGCAAAAATGGCTAAATTTTTTCAATCTTCTATAATATCTTGTGATTTATTTATTTTTCTTGAATGTTTAAATTTATGTTGATCTACATTTCTTACATTCAAAATCACAATTTTTTTTTGTGCTATCAGTAGATTTATGGAAATTTCATGAAGATATTTGGGGAAAATATAAATTTACAAAAAATTTGAAAATGTAAGTTTTTTCTTTGCTTATAAAGACTAAATATGTTTTAGATCTATGGATTTATCTATCATATCCATAGAGCAATTGAAATTTCTTCCTTAATATATTTTTTAATTTTTATAATTTTAGAATTAAATAAGTAAATAAATAAAAAATTATATTTTATCATTTGATCACAATGATTGAACATATTATAATTCTATGGATGATATCCATAGATCAATTGAAATTTGTTCTTTAATAACTATTTTTTGAATATATTATATAATGTTTATTAATTTTTTTATAATTTTTGGAAATGAATAATAAATAATAAATGTTTAAACAATAAATAATTATTAATTATATTTTCACATAGAAGTTGTGCCAATGCATGTTTTATGGTTGGATAGGAGAGTTGGGTTTTTCTCATCCCATAAAACATTAAAACTTAAGAATTATAATTTATAAATCATAGTTAAGAATAGGATTTTTAATGAAATTATAATTAGCTATAATATATTTCTTCATAAACCATTAAAATATATTAATTTAATGTATATACACCTCATTAAGGTCTTATATTTAGTGTTGTTGATGTATTTTTATGATTTATTAAAATATTTATAGTGTTTCCAAGCGTATCTTAATTTTTCTCCTATATGCATGCGTATCTAAGGTGTATCCCGATATGTATCTTAAAATTGCCCTTCCGATACACTTGGTATTTTTGATATTTTGAACCTTGGTGAAAATGTGAATAGTCCTAATGCTGCATTGCATCCATTGGTCCGTAGAAAAAGAAAAAGAACATCTGAAGTGTGGAAGCATTTTGACATAATCCTTAATGCAAAAAATGAGGAAAGGGTTGTTTGCAATTAATGTAAACAAGATTTCAACGTAGCAAGCACTAGTGGGATCACTCATCTAGCTAATCATGTCTCAAGGTGTCCACGAAGATTACCAAAAGGACAAAGAGAAATTGGACAACAAATGTTGGCAATTTCTACAAATGTAAGTAAGTCAACCTGTAGACTAGAGGGATGGATATATGATCCCATAAAAAGTAGATATGACTTTGCAAGATACCTAATCATACATAACTAACCATTTAGCATGGCAGAGCATGAGTTTCTTGAGATTTGGGCTACTGGTCTTATTCCCATGTTTAAAATGGTTTCACACAACACAATTAGGAATTATTGCATGAAAATCTATGGGGATGAGAAAGTGAAGCTTTACGGCATTCTTGATAGGCTTGATTCCCTGGTTAGTCTCACTACTGATATGTGGACATTAGGGCAAAATATTGGATATTGTTGTTTAACTGCACATTACATTGATGATAAGTGGAAATTGAGAAAGAAGATTATATGTTTTCGAGTTGTCAGAGAAGCATGTTGTTGTAAACCTTTCTAGAGTCATCAAAGATCTTATTTTGCATTGGAACCTTGATATTAAAGTGATGACTTTCATTGTTGATAATGCCTTTGTGAATGATGTTGTAATTAGAAACATGAAGGAGTGGCTTTCTGGGTAGGGTAAACTTCTTTTGTCAAGGGAATTGTTTCATGTGCGTTGAACAACACATGTTTTGAACCTCATTGTGCAAGATGGGTTGGATGTTGTTAGGCACTTGATGGGAAAAATCAGAGAATCAATCAAATATCTACAAGCTTCAAGTCAAAGAAATCTGAAATTTGAAATGGAAAAAAGTCAATTGAAGATTCGTAATAAAAAGGAGTTGGTTTTAGATTGCCCCAAAATATGGAATACAACCTATGATATGCTCAAAACTGCACCTGAGTATAGGGTTGCATTTGCTCGATTGGAACAAATTGATGAAGAATATAATCTTAATCCATCTTCTGAGGAGTGGGATATTGGTCAAGTTGTTTATGAATGTTTACATATTTTTATGAGGTAACGAATGCATTTTCAAAGACTACATATCCAACATCCAACTTGTTTTTTCTCGATATTTGTGAGATTCGTGTGCAGATTGATGAATGGCTATTGAGCAAGTATGATTATGTTCAAGTAATGGCTGGAAAAATGTGGGGAAAGTTTAAAAAATATTGGGATGGGGTTAATTTACCTTTGGCAGTAGTAGTGGTTCTTGATCCACGATACAAGTTGGCATTTGTGAGGTATAATTTGCATAGGGTTTATGGTTATGTGGGAGAAGATGAAGTGGCAAAAGTGCGTGAATGCCTTTATAACCTTTACTCTCACTATGCAAATTATGATACCTCATCCATTCCTAATGAAGAGAGTAGTCCCCTTGAATCATGCATAACAAGTTCAGCTTCGGGTGTGATGCAAGAGAGTAAGAAAAAGTATCTCAAAGGCTTTCAAAAATGGTGCACAAGTGATGAAACAACAACATCGGTGTTCTACAACAAAAAATCAGAATTGGACCAATACTTGGAAAAATCCTTGATTCCAGAAAATGCCAAATTTTAATGTGCTAAATTGGTGGTCAATTAATTCTTTTAAGTTGAAAATTCTGTCAAAAATGGCTTGTGATGTTCTAGCAATTCAAGCAACCACTATAGCATCAGAGTCAACATTCAGTATAGGTGGTAGAGTGTTGGATCCTTATCGGTATTCATTGCTTCCAGAAACAGTGAAGGTTTTGGCTTATGCACAAGATTGGATTGAAGCACCTCCTAAACCAAAAACACCATGTAAGTAATTATATTCATATATGTTTTTGGTATTAAGCTTATTAGTGTATTAATCGTATTCTATGATTTCTTTGCATGTTTTAGTTTCTTTTGATGAAGCACCTGCTTCTTCTGTGTCTTCTATTGGTAAATCTATTGAAACTCTGAGGATTCCATCCTCAAATAAAAGTGGAAGTGAAAGTGCAAATACAAATTTTGATGAAAATGATGCTCATGAAAGTGATGCGTCTAATTAGCATATGTAAGATTGAAAATAATTTTCATTCTTTTAAATATTTATGAATTGTGATTGATGTTTTCCAAGTTTTGGTCCTTTTGGACTAACATGTGGTTTTATTCTTTTCTTGCTCTTTCTTCTTCTTCTTCGTTTTTTTTTTGTAGGCTTAAACTTTGGTCATTTGCATGAAGGATAGTATGGAGCCTTGAACAAGTTAATTGGTCATTTGCATGAAGGATAACTCATTAGCTTGAACTTTGGTCATTTTCCTTGGAGACTTGAAGCCTTGAACTATCTTTTATAGTTTGTTTGTTTTTTTTTTATGATGGTTGTATGGATAAATTGGTTATTTTAAACTATTTGGGACTGATTTTGATATATGCTAGTTAGCTTCTTTTTTTTTTTCCTTCTTTTTGGTTTTGTTGAGTTGACACTTAGTGTGGCTATGTGAGTCTTTAGTTTTGGTATTTTGATGAATATGGTTTGGACTACAATCTAAAGTAATCAAGCAACTTATGTTTCTCCTTCTCTTTAATTGATTATGGTTGTTGAAGTATTGAGTAGTTTATGCTTTGATTATAAGGGAAGCAATGAACAGGTAATACTTGAGTTTTGACATCTTTATGTTTATTTTTTCAAAGTATAGTTTCAAAGGAGTTTTATTAATTAGATTTTTAATTTTTGCAGACTTTTGATTTGAAGTTGAGGGAAAACAAGTGAGAATCCAATCCAGATGCAACCTTGGGTGATAGGCAAATGAGGGAATGGGATGTGTCATCTAACAATCCTCACCAAACAATCATACTTCAAAAGCATAATGTTGTCCTGTCACTGGTTTTTCTCTGAGGTAGACTGGGAGTTGTTAAGGCTAAGGTGAAGTGGGTGGATTTCTTTGGGAAAGAGCTGCTAGAGATCAAGAAATTTGAACCCAGGTTGGTTTAATCTCCTCTTTTCTCTTAAATACCTCAGGTTTATTCTTCTCTCGATTGATTTCCCCTTGATGGATTTTACATACTTAAATGCAATTTTTTTCTCATTAGTAATCCAAAGCATTTATATTTGAATACGTAAATCCGTAAAAACATAGCAGCGAAAAAAAACAGATAAATGCATTAACAAATTTACATTTGATGAACATATTAACCAGAAAATGGTTTAGGTGATGACATCCTTGAAATAAAGGTGCAGAATGAAGTCTTTCATGGTATAGAAATTACTACCAGGTTCACATTGGTATATATGATAGATTTTTCTGTATATATATTCTTTGAGCTGTTGTTCCTTTATTTAAATAAAATACTAGTGGTTAACTTAGAATAGATGAGTGCTCTGATTTATTCGATGCCTCAAGGTCAGACCTAAACTCGTCCGAGGATTTACAGCACTTTAGAGCTAAAGATGTAGAATTCACCAAATCTTACAACTACTTGGTTGGATAATTCTTCTGCTTTTTGGTTCATAATGCAAAAATTGATTTTACTGGAGGAACATTAATATGCCGATTTGGAAAAAAAAATTAAACATGCATTAACTAAGATTAATTGAATAGTTGTGACCTAAGCTTGATAATTTGTTGCAATGGAACCAGTTGTAGCTTTTGTATTTCCAACTGGTTTGGTTTTTGTATAGATGAGCAGTTTCACCCAATATTGTTTAGGGAGTTGGGAATTACAAACCATCCACACTTTCCCCTATAGTCATATTGCCTGGAGTTATTTACTACACTCCTCATCAGCAAGTTGGCTAGAACTGCCATGTCAATGACTTGCATATAGTGTGAACATAGGAATTTGATCACAGGGTTTAAAATGTCACTGCCATAGAGCCACTCTCCATCTGCAAATGGATCCACTCATGTGTGCAAATTCCTTTATTGCACACATGGAGAGTGGCTCTAGCGTCAATTATGCTGATACCTACTGCCATCTGATTTGGATGACAGAGGCAATGGTAGTGGGGGCTGTGCTTCTTCAGTCAAAATGTATTCAGTGTGTCCTATTGATATGTGCTTCATCCTGTATGAGACACATGGTAGATTAAGGAACAGAGACTGTTTTCAGGCCCCTTTAGCTTAAGATTGAAGTTTTTGACATCTACCCTTCAATAGAGAAACAAAAGGAAAGTATTAATCAAAGACATCTGTATTCGCTAGAAGTCCATTGACTTCCATATTTTTGATGATTTGGCCATTTGGGTCCTTTTTTTCCCTTCTTTGCGATCAATACTGGGTGTAAGTGGGTTATTGATTGAAAAACTGGAATTAATTTAATCGTATTCGAATTAATCTAACCCTTAACTTGCAAAATTTGTCTTTATAAAACAATTAATCAAATTCAAATATATTCGAAAAGCCAATCGGTCAAATTCGAATGAAATCGAATTCAAATTCATATATTTGACATCCAATGGTATATCGAATCGAATTCGAATATTAATATTTATAATCGATTTCGAATTCAAATCTATCCTGATTCGATTTGTTTATATGCCTAAATGTCCCACCTAGGCCCTTTCCCAGAGGCCCAGCAACGGATGGGCCCGCTGGGCCTGGGGCGAGTCATGATTTGAGACATTAAGAAAGATGACAAGGGCATTTTGAACAATTGCGATGTTCTTTCACTCTATAAATAAGGGTGAAATGCAAAGCTAGGGTTTTATAATTGCCTTTGAGAGAACCGGGCGAGCTTAAGCTATCCCACGCCGCTGGGTTCCGTTGCCGGCAGAAAGAAACCTCCAAAGCCTCCTTCTCTCTGCGGAAAGAGCTTCTTCCCACCTCTTTTTGCAGGATAATAGGGGTCTTAAATTTCTTCATTTTCTTGCGTTCAATGCAGACAATCGTATACTTTCTTCAGCTACACATTTTCTTCCTTCAGTTCACATCCTTTTTTTATTTTTCCGTTGGGTTGTGTTTGATTTGATAGAAAGTTGAGGGAATGTCTGTTATACTTCTTTATCCATCATCATGACCTTTTCATTCATCTCAGCAGATTTGCAGAAGAGAAGGGCTTTTTGTCTTCTTCCTCTTCTGCAAGAGAAAAGGTCTTACATAACTTCTTTTTTTTGTTCGATTTTGTTCGTTCCTCCTCGGCCGATCCAATGGGTGTTGCGTTGTAAACGGAGTATGCGATCACTCAATTTCACCCGGCCTAGATCGATAATTTTTTTGGGGCAGCCTCAAGGGTTTGACATGTTTTTTCCATCATGTTTTATTCCAGGGAAACTGCCCTAAATCACACCGTCTCTTAAGTTACAATATTTGACAAATTCTCTTCTACTTATTTTTTATTTTTTGCTTAAAATTTTGTTTTCTGTTTAATTTTCTTCCTAACACGTATCTTTGTTTGAGAAAGTTAACAAACCATTAATTGCAAAGTTTGGATTTCCATTAAAAGTAGAGGATGTAACTACCCAATTTGGGGTTGAATCAATTCGAGTGCTAACAGGGCTGCAGTTGCAGCTACCCACTGGAACAGAGGAAGGGCATTGATCAAGGAAGAATGTCACTGACTCGCAGCCTTTTCTGAATTCCAGGATCTGCATGCATGCCTGAATTTTGGGTTGTGTTCTGTAATGTATTTGTTGGAGCCCATTTTAATCTGGTCTTTGAATCATTGTTTGAATGGGTACCTATAAGCTTTCTCTGCTCTGTTTTTTTTTTCCTTGGATATGTCTGCTGTTTCTTGCTCTCAGAAGATACGCTGGTATGAAGAAGCAGACTTCTCTTTATAACTGCAGAAGCCAAGGGAAACGATTCCTTCATTGTGAATTTGTGACGAGATCATGAGAGGAGTCTTCACTCTTCACATCCATAATCCTCTTTCTGTTGCACTATGGGCTCCAAGCTTCCAAGTGTAGAAATACAAATAATATGTATTTTTAAATTGTCTATTTGCATTTTGCATTTTTGTATTTATACTCTTTCCAAATGTCAATTGGACTGCATTTAGTCCAAGTCCATTTGGTCCAATAAGATGGACAAAGCCCAATCCAATCCGATAATTATTCTGCACATATTTGGATTAGTTCAATTCAATGTCTGGACCCCGTTTATTCGTCTCAAACCTGTTCCATTGCCGCATGTATTCTTATGGATCACATTTTGCTTCCATATGGACCATTATGTACAACCACTTAAAATATGATTCACATCCTCTTCTTCCCCACAAAAATTACAGTCTCCATCAATATTCACTCTACTCCTAAGAAGAGATTTAATGGGAAGCCTATAATTTAGTAAAATGCATAAAAAGACTTGTAATTTTGGAGGGCATTTTAGATTCCAAACATTATTATTCCAATTGAAACCACTCATAGGATTCATAAAATGGTTATATTTCAAGTAGTAAGCAGATTTAGAAGAAAATGTGCCGTTAGTATTAACCACCAAATCATCCTATCATCTTTTTGGCTTAGGCTACAGATTTTCTCCCTTCTCCAATCTTTCTTTCTTGGTCAAGAACATCACTAACCAAAGGTTCTCATTCTCGATGGTTCTTTGGGGGATCATTTCGGCTAATGTCCTTCCCCTCGTCCATTTTTCATTTCAAAAGTTCACCGAT